GTCAGCAGAAGATGTGGTCAGCAGGGGACGTGGTCAGCAGGGGATGTGGTCAGCAGGGGACGTGGTCAGCAGGGCGCGTGGTCAGCAGGGGACGTCGTCAGCAGGGGACGTGGTCAGCAGGGCATGTGGTCAGCAGGGGACGTGGTCAGCAGGGCATGTGGTCAGCAGAGGATGTGGTCAGCAGGGGATGTGGTCAGCAGGGGACGTGGTCAGCAGGGGACGTGGTCAGCAGGGCATGTGGTCAGCAGAGGATGTGGTCAGCAGGGGACGTGGTCAGCAGGGGACGTGGTCAGCAGGGGACGTGGTCAGCAGGGCATGTGGTCAGCAGAGGATGTGGTCAGCAGGGTGCGTGGTCAGCAGGGGATGTGGTCAGCAGGGGACGTGATCAGCAGGGGACGTGGTCAGCAGAGTGCGTGGTCAGCAGGGGACGTGGTCAGCAGGGCGCGTGGTCAGCAGGGTGCGTGGTCAGCAGGGGACGTGGTCAGCACGGCACGTGATCAGCAGGGGATGTGGGCAGCAGGGGACGTGGTCAGCAGGTCCCATGGTCAGCAGGGGATGTGGTCAGCAGGGCCCGTGGTCAGCAGGGGACATGGTCAGCAGGGTGCGTGGTCAGCAGGGCAAGTGGTCAGCAGGGCACGTTGTCAGCAGGGGGGACATGGTCAGCAGGGGACGTGGTCAGCAGGGGACATGGTCAGCAGAGCCTGTGGTCAGCAGGGCACGTGGTCAGCAGGGGGCGTGGTCAGCAGGGGGCGTGGTCAGCAGGGGGCGTGGTCAGCAGGGCATGTGGTCAGCAGGGCACGTGGTCAGCAGGGGGACATGGTCAGCAGAGGACGTGGTCAGCAGGGCACGTGGTCAGCAGGGGGGGACATGGTCAGCAGGGGACGTGGTCAGCAGGGCCCGTGGTCAGCAGGGAACGTGGTCAGCAGGGGGGCGCGGTCAGCAGAGGATGTGGTCAGCAGGGCGCGTGGTCAACAGGGAGGGACATGGTCAGCAGGGGACGTAGGGGACGTGGTCAGCAGGGCCCGTGGTCAGCAGGGGACGTGGTCAGCAGGGCACGTGGTCAGCAGAGGACGTGGTCAGCAGGGCACGTGGTCAGCAGGGCACGTGGTCAGCAGGACACGTGGTCAGCAGGGCATGTGGTCAGCAGGGCACGTGGTCAGCAGGGCATGTGGTCAGCAGGGCACGTGGTCAGCAGGGCACGTGGAGCCGTGAAGGATTTGCACGAGACAGAGACGGGGGAACTGTGCAGGATGCAGAGTGCTGAGCGCATCCTGGTTTCCCGTGGGTGCCCCTCCACACAGGGTGGACTGTTTCCCACTAAAAGTGCCTTCGAGTGTCCTCTGCAATGCCAGCATGTTTCCAAACCAGGACACTTATTTGCCAGAAATGCTAAAATGACTAATTTTGAGAAGGTTTCATTTTCACATGCACAGATGTGATCTTGCGTACATGTGGAGACATCAAAAATGGAGTACTACTCTGCTCTAAGAAACAACGGTGATCTAGCACCTCCTGTATTAACCTGGATAGAGCCGGAACCCATTCTACCAAGTGAAGTCTCCCAAGAATGGAAAAACAAGCACCACATGGACTCACCAGCAAACTGGTATTGACTGAGCAGCACCTAAGTGGACACATAGGAACTACATTAATTGGCTGTTAGGCGGGTGGGAGGGGAGGGAGGCGGGTATATACATGCTTAATGAGTGAGATGTCCGTTTGTTGAGTTTTTGCTTTTACTCATCTCAAAATAGTTTCATACTTCATTTGTGATTTCTTCCTCAAACCTTTGGTTATTTAAGAGTGTTGTTGCTTAATTTCCATATATTCATGAATTTCCCAGATTCCCTTATACTACTGGTGTATAATTTTATTCCACTGTGCTTGCAGAGTGTCCTTTGTATGATTTTAGCCTTTTCTATTTACTGAGGCTT